TCATTATCTACCCTATCAGCACAAAGACAAATGCTGAGCCCCTGACATGGCACCATGCCATGAAAGGGCTCACCAACTACTTGGTGGCAAGCTGATTACATCATATCCCTTCCTCCCTCCCTAGGATGTTTCTTCCTGACTGAGTAAGGATTTGCCTTTCTTGTCTGTAATATTTCAGTCAGGACAGCCCTGTAAAGGCTAATCTACCAACATAGGATCCCATGTAATATCACCTCAGACCAAAGGACCCCCTTTACAACTGAGTTCATGGAGGGGTGTAAATTTGTAGGAAAATGACAAAGGGATCCACTGACCCTACCACATACTCTACCTTCCAGAAGATGCTGACCACTAACAGGGTGGTAAATGGCTTATTGAAGGTGCAGCTGAGCCAACAGCTTGGAGGTAACAACCCACAATGATGGGGGTACTAAACTTCAAGGTGCAATATATACCTTAAACCAATGGCCAGGAGGTGATGCTAAATTCAATAGGTAGAATACACGAATCTAGAAAACAAGAGGTAGAAGTACTTGCCATCACTTTCAGATACACTTGGGAAATTTATACTTCCTATTCCTGCAACTGTCATCTCCCTGGGTCTGAATGTCCTGGTTCCCACAAGGAGGTCAATTACACCAAGCACAGAGTAAGAGTATCACTAAATCTAAAGCTACAGCCGCCCCCTCGTCATTTTAGGCCGCTAGTGCCAATAGAGCTGGGGACACACAAAAAATTGGCATACTGGCAGGAGTAACTGACTCTGATGGTTACGAGAAGGTAGATCTTGGACTCCATAATGGGCTAGGGAGGAATAGATTTGGCTGGGGCTTATATTAGCACTTCCATGCCCAGTTTTGGCTGCACACGGACCAGAGCAACAACCACAGCCTGTGTAAGCCATGGTCATCAGTGGCTCAGACCACCCCAGGGAGGAAGGTCTGCGTCACTTAACCAGGCCAGCCATGTGGACTAGCCTAAGTACTGCCAGAAAGGGATGGGAATCTAAGACAAGAGGAGGAGGAAGATGATGGAGTGTCAGTTGACGCCCCAGGACCAACTGCAGCAGCAGGGACTACAGTGCCTCCCATCAGATCTGTCCTTGCAAGTTTTCCTTAGAAACTGTGACCAGAAAGGATCCTGAAAAATCTATACGTTGATGGAGTAAACTTAATATAAGAAGCAAATGGATCTGACAAGTACATGAGGAGGATATGGCAGGTGCTGTTGATGTGTCACCCAGATCTGCTTTGCCCAGCTAGGGCCTCAGTCCCCACCTAGCTGCTGTGCTCCTCCAGAGAATTGTCTCCTGCCAACAGGTGCTGCCTCAAGAAGTTTTGGGGCGCCCCAGGTGGCTCAGTCAGTTAAGCATCTGCCTTCAGCTCAGGTCATGAACCCGGGGTCCTGGGATCGAGCCCCACATCAGGCTCCCTGCTCAGCTGGGAGCCTGCTTCTCCCTCTCCTCCCCGCTTGTGCTTTCTCTCGCTATCTCTGTCACCATCCCTCAAATAAATAAATAAAACCTTAAAAAAAAAAAAAAGTTTTGCCCTCCCACCTCATCACACACAGGATCAGTGTGAAGTCAATGACTGAATGACACAGGACTACAAAAAACCAGTCCCCTTGTCTCAATATGGGATAAACAATGTGGTGCAATTCATGCTCCAGAGCTCCCCGTGGGATCAACTTGAAGGGAGGCTCCCAGTGAGGCCTCAAACTTGCCTAGCCTTCTCCCCTTGCCCTATCTCAGTTCATGGCTCCCCCTCCCGCACAAGCATGCCCCTCTCAGGCTCTGTTTCTAGGGTGATCCCAAACAGTCACCATTAAATAGGCTTTAAAGAGGCTTTCTTATTAATTACAAAGAATTTGATGTCTTAGATGGTATTTTAGTTGTACTCTGTAAAAAAATATCCTTTTCACCAATTAAAACTGATATATTTGGGTCACTGTTCTCCAGTTTTTGTTTTTCCAGGGTGTGCTTTGTGGGAAACAAGTTTCTCAAGAGAGTCCACCACTTACACACACACACACACACACACACACACACACACACACACCAGTAAAAGATTTTGTGTTAAGTGGTTTGAGACACCCTGCAGTATGTATGCTAGTCTGGGAGACTCATTGTGCATGTGAGCCACGGAAGACTGTGAGGCAGCAGTACCCAGTGGTTAAATGACCCAACAGATCTGTTTCCAAATCCTAGCTCAGCCACTACTCATGCTTAGAATCATCCCTTAAGTGAACTTTTCTGATCCCAGGTTCTTATACATAAAGTTGATGGGCACACGCCTCACAATTACAGTGCAAGAATTAAATGATAGAATGCATAAAACCACTTAACACAGTGCCAGACACATAGAAATCGGCAATAAATTCTAACAAGTAAATAAAAAATAAGTACCTTGAGCTGCAGGGGAGAAGAGGACTGTTAAATTTTTTTGACTACAGAACCCTTAAAAAATAAATAAAAGTCAGAGAAAAAACATGAGATGCATTTTACAAAATGCTAATTTGGTGAAATTGAATCACACTCAGCACAAATTAGAGAGCATTATCTAAAGAATATGAACAAGAGAAACAGCAAGATAACTTCAGGCAAATACACCTAATGACAATTCAGAGATCTCTGCATTAAAAATAAAACAAAACAAGCTAAAAAGTAGTCATTATCTTAATTCTAAGAAAATTAGCATCTGCCTGCCTTGTATTTTCCAAATCAACATTAATTTTCCACCATGGCTACGTATTTTCACCCAAATATTCTTGATATTTGTTTACCTAATTATATATTATATGTTAACTTGAAAATTGCAATCCCCCTGCATCTTGAGTCTGGGTGACCCTAATTTACAGCATCCCCCTCACCCAGCCCTGAGCAAGATCCCAGAGGGCACGATGGTGTTGGAGAGTAGGAGGCTCTGCATGGGGCACCTGGGTGGCTCAGTCGTTAAGCATCTGCCTTCGGCTCAGGTCATGATCCCAGAATCCTGGGATCGAGCCTGTGTCTGGAGTCTGGCTCCCTGCTCAGTGGGGAGCCTGCTTCTCCCTCTCTCTCCATGCTGCACCCCTCCCCCGCCTGGCTTGTGGTCTCTCTCTCAAATAAATAAAATCTTTAAAAAGAAAAAAAAGAGGCTCTGCAGTACCAGAGTGGTAGCTAGAGCCAAGGTGTGTGTGCTTTGTTTGGTAGGGGCAGGAGGCTTCAGCCAGAGTATTTTTATAAATTAAGTCAATAAAACAATTCTTCTTGTTCCCAAAATAATCATGAGAAAATTTCAGAAAAGGAGATTCAGTAGATATTATATTAGTTTATTAGGGCTGCCATATAACAAACCATCACAGACTGGGTGGCTTAAACAATAGGTATTTATTTTGTCATGGTCTGGAGGCTAGAAGTCCAAGATCCAGGTACGGGAAGGGTTGGCTTCTCCTGAGGCCTCTCTCCTGGGCTTGCTGATGGCTACCCTCTTATTATGTCTTTTTATGGCCTTTCCTCTGTGTGTGCCCATCCCTGATGGCTCTTCTTTCTCATATGAGGACACCAGTCCTGTTGGATTAGGATGCCATACTTAAGACCTCCTAACCTTCCTTCCTTCTTTCAAGGTCCCATCTTTAATACTGGTCACATTCTAAGGTTGGGTTGCAACATATGATTTGGGGAGGAACATAATTCAGTCCATAACAGGTATTAATATAGATCAGACATGTTTTTTGACTGCCATACATTCTATCTCCTGAAGAAATATTTATCAGCCTTGAACTCAGTGAAAAAGTTATACCTATGAATATTTACCTCTGTAGTGCACTGCAAGGCATGACTACCCTCTCTGGACCCTTAGGAAAATGCTATTTGCATTTAGAGTAATCATTTTAAAATCATTTCAATATTTAGGAGAGAGTGGATCTCCTCTCTTATAGAACCTTCCCCAAGAGGTTGTCTGTGTCAGATTCATACATTTCTATGTGGAGAAAGAGCCAGTTTGGAGTTGGAAATCAGAATTCTAGTCATGGTTTTACCACTAGGTAGTTGGAAAATTCCTTTTGTCTCCTTAGGGCAAAGCAAATTCACCCTGCAGCATTCACGTGGGAAACAGGTTCCCTTTCAGGTTTTTTCACTTAGATTCAAGCGTGTCAAAGATCGTTGGAGCTCACTGTTTTCATTCATTTCCTTTGTTGCCATAGCTAACACTGGGATAGCATACAAAGTAGCTAGCACATTACCAAGGCCTGAGTCCAGGCTTGCCAGATAAACAAGATAACAAGTTAACACAGAACTTTATGATACAGGCTCTGATTTCACCAGAGGGGGAAAAAAACAAACAAACACCAAGATTTATTTTTTTTATTGACACAGATATGGGTTTTTCTCCCCTCTTCCTAATAAAAAAAAAAGTTTCTTTAAAGTAGAAAAAGTGTCTCTTCCAAGTTTTTTTCTTAGATGAGTCATTTGCAGATTGTCTGTGTTTTGAAGACCTTCACATGGGCAGGGAATAAAAAGAGCTGTCATATGGAAATTCATCAAGTGTTAGAGCTAAACAAATGGCATTACAATAATACAGTATAAGCACTTCATTTTTCATATGGAGGAAAAAACCCACAAAAACTTGAGTTTCTGAAAACTAACAAACCAAATCCAGATGTAGTCAGAGATAGCATTGGGTCATTGCCATGTCTCCCCAGCTAAAATATGTATTCGTCTGCACCAGAGACAGTGACTTAGGCTTTGTTACATTTCCTGTAAATCCCAGGCAACTGCCGGGCACATGTTAATACTCTATAAAATACTTGTATATCAACAACGCCATTGTCATAAAATGATGGTACGGTCTAAGAGCATTAAAATTCTCAACAACAGGGGCACCTGGATGGCTCAGTTGGTTAAGCGACTGCCTTCAGCTCGGGTCATGATCCCAGGGTCCTGGGATCGAGTCCCGCATCAGGCTCCCTGCTTGGCGGGAAGCCTGCTTCTCCCTCTCCCACTCCCCCTGCTTGTGTTCCCTCTCTCTCTCTGTCTCTCTCTCTCTGTGTCAATTAAATAAATAAAATCTTTAAAAATAAATAAAATAAATAAAATAAAATTCTCAACAACAAACAAAAGGACAGGTATTAATTTAATAAGAGAACCATGTAAAAATATTTTAAAAGATTAATATAGTTTGGTAAAATAATTGCTAAATCTGATGGTATCATCAAAGAAAACCACCATGTGGTTACACAACATGTTGTGATATAGAATCAAATAAATCTTTTAGAGTTAGAGGGAGCCACAGAGATTATCTAGCACCAGCTTCTAATATTGAAGCCAAGAAAACCAAAGAAATGACAAGAATAACCAAGATTCCTTCTCTCTCTCTTTTTCTTTTTTTTTAAAGATTTTATTTATTTATTTGACAGAGAGAGACACAGCGAGAGCAGGAACACAAGCAAGGGGGTGGGAGAGGGAAAAACAGGCTTCCCAACGAGCAGGGAGCCTGATGTGGGGCTTGATCCCAGGACCCTGGGATCATGACCTGAGCCGAAGGCAGATGCTTAACAACTGAGCCACCCAGGTGCCCAATTCCTTCTGTCTTGAAGAAGAAGGTTAGATGGCTTATTTATAGAAGACCGTGTGGTATTGACAAAAGAACAGGCAAATAGATCAATGGACAAAATTGGGAACTCACAGAAAAGACCTATGCATATATAGATACTGGAGATTTGACCAAGTTAGTACTACAGATGGACAGGAAAAGAGTGGATTTATCAATAAGAGGTTCTGGGATAGTTGGTTATCCAAATGGAAGAAAAATAATATGGGGCATCCTACCTCACTCCATACCAAAGAAAAATGTTAAGACCTAAATAAATGGAGTTTTACACCATGTTTATGACTTGGAGTAAGAAAGGATTTCTTGGGGGAGATGAACCATGAGAGATGATGGACTCTGAAAAACAAACTGAGGGTTCTAGAGGGGAGGGGGGGAGGGGGATGGGTTATACTGGTGATGGGTATTGAGGAGGGCACGTTCTGCATGGAGCACTGGGTGTTATGAACAAACAATGAATCATGGAACACTGCACCAAAAACTAATGATGTAATATATGGTGATTAACATAACAATAAAAAATAAGAAAAAAAAAGGATTTCTTAAACAAGACATAAAAAGCACAAACCATAAAGGAATAGATTAATGAATGCAACTACATCAAAGTTAAGAATATCTGCTTATCAAGACACACCATTAAGAGAATGCAAAGAAAATCCACAAAAATACCAGCAAATACTGGCAATGCATGTAAGCAACAAAGGACATGTATCCAGGATATGTGGAGATTTTCCATAAATTCATAAGAATAAAACAATCCAAGAGAAAAAGAAGGTTAAAAAAAATGTGAACAGTTCCTGCACAGAAGGTGGAACCCTGAATGAATGGTAACATACCAAGAGATACTCAATCTCACTATTAGAAAATACAAATTAAAGCCACATGACTTCCCATTATACCCCAACTAACTAGCCCAAAACTCCTACAATACTAAGTGTTGATGAGTGTGCGTTGCAGTAAGAATTCTTTCACTGTAGGTGGGATTATAAATTGGTGCTGGTGCTGGGAATGTTTCCCTAGTCAAGTGACATGAGCATAACCTACAACCCATATAAATGGGCATATGCTTCAGGGGACATATATGAATGTGCTCATGGCAGACCTAACTATCCAAAAAATGAGAAACCACCCAAAAGTCTTCTTAGTGGATAACTTGTGGAATATTTATATGATTAAATACTTAAAAGCAATGAAAATTTTAATAAATTACAGCATCATACATCAACATGAATGAAGTGTAAAAATAATAAGATTGAGTGAAAGCAAGTCACAAAAGAATATTTACTGTATAATTCCTTGTACATAGAATTCAAGTGGTAAAACTATTTTTTAAAAGGCAAGAAACTAAGGCAAAAGTCAAGATAGCTGTTTTCTCTGGGAACAAAGGGAGCACACAGGGAGCATCCAAGTTCCTGGACAAGGTAATCGATCTTGTTCTACATCAAGGTCTTATAATAGGCAATATAGTTTTATGACTTTATGATTATTGTTTATATTATACATATATGTCTTATATTATACATACAGGTTTTATAGTATCTTCTACATGTATGATTTTTTTTTTTAGTTTATTCATTTATTTCTTAAGCAATCTCTATACCCAGTGTGGGGCTTGAACTCACAACTCCAAGACCAAGAGTCACATGGCCTTCTGACTGAGCCAGTCAGGTGCCCCGTGTATGATATACTTTGCATCACAGAAATAATTTTAAAAGGAAAAAAAGACCATCAAATCAACCTAGAAGAAAGGGTACTAGACCTGGAGCCAGGAGGTACTACCATAAATTCAAATGTTTAAAAAAAAAGTTTCTGTAAACTTTTAGTCACTCAACTGTTCAGTAGTGGAAAGAGTATTTGGAGCAAGGGGAAGTAGGGTAGTGGATAGGCTTTTTAAGTTCTTTGGATAATATCATTGACTATTTTTGAAATCTGGGAATGCTCAAGCACCTTCCCACTGCCTAGGCATCAAGTACTCTCCGAGCACCAGACTCTTCACAACATTGTTTTGTGTTATCACAACGCATCTACAAAGACTGTGCTATTATATCTGTTTTACAGATAAGAAATCTGAGGGTCAGAGAAGTTAAATGTCTTGCCCGAATTAATCCAGTCAAAAAGGAGATAGTACACCAGAGATTCTTAAACTTTACTGTGCAAATGAATCTCTTGAGATCTTATTAAAAATGCAGATTCTGACTCCAGAGGTCTGGAGACCTAAGAATCTGCATTTATAACTGGCCCACAAACCCCACTCTGAATATCATGGGTTCTGGAGCCACACTGCCTGGAATGCCGATGCCACCATTTTGTAGTTTTTTGTCAGGGAACAGTTACATTCCTTTTTTTCATCTGTAAAATTAGAGCAGTAAGACTGCGCTCATCTGGCTTGTTGTGATGTTTAAAGTTATAATATTCATGCAGGGTTTCAAACAGTGGCTGGCACTTAGAAAGCATTTGAAAATATTAGTTATTTGTAGTAAGTAACATACAACTATGCTTCTAATGAAAATTTGACTGTTACTAAAGGAGCTAATAAATTGTACCAGAGAGCCCTCAGCACAAACATTAGGAAAAATTGCCAAGAGAATCCCAGCAAGAAACTCTGCCATTCTGACTCCTTATACTCTCCTCATATGTCTTGCCCAATCTTGCTATTTCATTTAACTTTATAGAAAAATACTTAATACCCAGAAGACGTCCTCGTGTGGAGAATAATCTACATCTGTCTACAAACGAGCTGCGCTATGTGGGAGAAGGCAGCTTTTCTGGGAAAACAGTTAAGGCTGGGAATCCATCCAGTTGTTTAAAACTGCTGATCAAAGCCAGACTGACAAACACTTTTTTAATAGAAACCATTTGTAGTTAAAATGTTACATTAAGTGGAATCATTGACTAAAGGTATTTGGGGGAGAAATGCAAGCGACAAACAGTATTAGTATCAAATTCCTCTCTTCCCCAACATCTTAACACAACAATGCTGTCCCTCCCTAATCACCAAGGTTAAAGCTGTGGTGTGGTCTTCATTTCTTTCCTTTATCTTCTTCCTTTTTTCAGTTAGTCAGCCTATAAGATTATATTCGGCATGTTTAGAAAGGATCTTAACACCACCAATAACCCTTGTCTTTGGCCAGTGGAGAAACAAGGTAATTAGCTTGGTTGTAAATGCACTTTCCAAAGAAGACAAATGTGTGTTCCCATTGCTTGTTTAACAGGAATTGAAAAGCAAGAAACCTCCTGGGAAGTAATAAATTGATTACTCTAACCCCCCACCCCCACCCCCAAAAAAGGATGCCATCAAATTCAGTCAAGGGACAAGCAAAACTGCTTAGCCCAAGTCTCCACAGGTGCATCTGTCAGAATGACTAACCTTAGTCACAGTCAGACATATTGATCCCCATTAGTTAGATAATGGAGGTGCAAACAGATTATGTGCCTTTATTTCCTGGCCAATTACACAGCCCTGTTTTCCTCTGTGCTCAATCGAAGTGACCTAAAAGCTTCTGAGGCACCGATCTAGATAGAACAACCCTTCAAAAATTATTTTGTTCTCACATTTCTTTGTGGGGGAAAACATCCTGCAGCCAAAGGGTGTTGTTTTGTAGACCGGCAGAGACTGTTTAGCTGCGCTCTGGAATAGAAAAGAAAGGCAGATCTCCCTGTTGGACATTTGAAGCTGGATTTCCTCTTTCAGACAACAATTAATTTGGTCCTTTGTCTGAAAAGGAGGCTGAACTCATTGTGGGTGGGACTCTGTTTACAATGGATTCTGTAATTAAGTTTCCATAGTTTTGTGAGTTTGAAAGTCAAACCAAACTTGTAATTTGGCTACTTGTTGAGTTAAAATATTTTTTTTAGCTAAAATTCTACCTGTGACTGTCCCACGAAGACAACAGGGAACTGTGGCAGGACAGTTCCCCACAGAAAGCCAGAATGTTCTTTCCTGAAGACAGAGAAAAAGCTGCAAACCCGCAGAAACAGGAGGAGTATATGTGAATTTGACAAATCTTACAACATTGACAAAGCACCAGTTTACTACTGAGACGCCGAGTTACTGAGACAAATGCACAGGGTGTCTGCCCTCAGCATCTCACACCCTGCCTGGCAGGTACTCAAGGCTTGGCTCTGCCCTTCTCAGGACAGCCCAGGGCAGGGACAGGGACTAACTTACTGAGAAGCCAGATTAGCCGCCAGACCTCCTGTCCCACACTGGTATGCATATCACCAGATTAAAACAAACTTCTTGGCCATACAACTATACCCAGACTTGCCAAGAACACTGGCCAGTTGCTGTGTTGGCTGGACCTGGTGTAGGCTGAATTGCCACACGGGGTGAGGTGCGGAAACTCCTCACCTTCTCTGGCACCACTCCCATTTCCTAACTGAAACATTTCAGGCCTGCCCTCCCGTAGTGGGGCCCGGCAGTGAGGCACCAC